TCTCGACAGGCTCTGGGCCTGTTGACAGCTCCTCTGCTCCCTGTCAAGCACCAGTGTGTGTGTGTGTGTGTGTGTGTGTGTGTGTGTGTGTGTGTGTGTGTGTGAGAGAGAGTGAAGAGTAGCTGTAGGAGCGATACCCAGAGAGTAGAAAGAGGTCTGGAGTGTGTTTACATGTGTGTGTGTGTGTGCGTGTTTATCTCACTCCACAACCAGGTATTTTTTACGGAGGCATATCTTGAAAGCTCCCACTGCTCTCTTTCAACAAACTACTAACATTAGACCCTTGAAATGTGCCGTTTAAGCCACTATATTATGTCTGCCTGGCCTCAACGTGGAGTGATCGATCGGACCTAATCGTCTCCCCTCTGGCATCCTGCGTCTCTTCAACATCGATTGCATTCCATCGCCGCCTTTCTTCCTTTCCACGCACTCCTGCAATTTCCCTCTTCTCCCGGCTCCCTGTCCGTCCCCCCCTCCTCGCGTCTCATATTCAGAAGACTGTATATCCGCGCTGACGGGTGAAGTTAAGTCTTTGCGTCGGACAGAGCGGACCAGCCAAGTGTCAAAGAACCGCACGTTGATGTTGAAAATAAACAGAGCTGAAAAGCAAGGAGAGATGTGGAGGAGGGGGGGGGGGGGAAGAGACTCGGAAGAGAGCAGATGATGGAGAAGAGGCATGAAATGTCATAATGTGTTACCAAAAAAACATCACATGCATGTAGCTGAAGAGGAGGGGGGGGGGGATGCCGGTCAGGACGTATAAATAGTTTTTATACACACACACACACACACATATCCGAGCCACGTGTTGCTCCTAAACAGACGTTGATTTAAATCTCGAGACACTGGCCATTTTTCTGCTGCGTGCACACTGTGTGGTGTTTTTTTTGGACACCTGGCTTCACAGATGTGGGTAAACAAAGCTGGAGTCAGCCGGTGACTAAGGCTTCCCCCCCTCAAACATGCTTACGTCCAACCGGAGAGGCCACAGCAGGAGCGGTACGGCAACAGCACCACAGACAGACATGTGCTAGACAAAACTAAAGAAATGCAGGAAAAAACAGGGCTAGAGTTTCACTGCCACCAAACTGAACTCTTTACATCCGGGCGAATGGAGCCTGCACGGACTCCAGAGCCAGAGCAGCACGTCTGAAAACAATGAGGGCAGAGCGTGGCTGAGTCTCTGTTGATCTTTAAGCGTGTATCTTTATTCAGAGGCAAGCTCTGCTGCCATGAATGTACTATACGTGCAGCATGAAAGCATGAAAGCAATAAGATAATCTTCAAAAGAACCTCATTAGAGCATGTGAGCAGCTTCAAAAGGACGTAAAGCCAAATCCAGATTCTTCTCAACTTAGCGATGAGATCATCAGATCCGTCAGACAGGAATTCACGTGTTGCTCGTACACATCAGTGCAGACTACAGGCTTTAATTTAATGGTATCATAACACATGCTGTTTACACTGTGCTCACCATCACAGCCGAGTACCCCCCACTAGGATAAATCACAAACAGGACATTGACAATGAATAGCAAAAGCATTATATGGACCAACATTATCCATGTGCATCATATTTCCATAACATTATAGAGATTTTCAGCAGCATCCCAAAAGCTGAAATGACAGGAGGGGGAACATCATTATTTCCTGTTATCTTATTATTCCACCATTCGAGTAGCCGGCTGACAGCAGGTGGGGGCTTTTCCCTCCTCCACCTCTCCCGCTTTAGCTCTCAGGACTAAATGGGGCAAAATGAGAGGATAACAGGGGGTTTCCACGTATGGGTAATACAGTTATTTACAATGCCGATCATCAGTGGGAGAGAACTCAGAGCCAGGCCTTTGATATGAAAGCTTTATGAGCCCGTGAAAAATAAGTTACATGTATATTATACGTACACTGCTCAACACGACCGGCTTCAGCAAACACTGGTTTGACATTAAAAGGGCTGTTTCTCACACTATCATTACCATCACTTTAACTGGTATGTCATCTCCACAGTAAGGAGGATATAATGCAAACAGTGATGACAAAGTGCCTCATCGAACCCAACATCGAAACTACCACTGATGTAAACTGAACTGCCTTAATCTCCGCTGTGAATAACAAGTGTGCCTCGGATTCGTGTTCCACTTTCCTTACATCACCTCAAAGCAATGACAGAGAAAAAACACTAGAGACAGAAAAACATCTCTGACCGTGACCCCGGGTCGCTTTATCTCCTCCTCTCATCTTTCCCCTCCTGCTTTTGCTCATCCTGGCTGATGAAGACGGACATCCAGTGCAAAGCCGTGGGGAAAGGGCCTTAATGCAGACATGCTGCCACTGAACACCGTCTGAATCAGCGAGTACTTCTTTCACAGGCCGATCACCGGCGAAAAAGGTTCAGACCCCGGACGGGTCGATTTGACCTGCTTCGACTTAATTCTACCCGTCTCGGGTGAAGGGGCTTAAACGGGCTCGTTCTGGAACTCCTTTTGACATTCTTTGACATATTCCAACCCCTGACGTAACCCTTCTCCCCCTCGACCGCCTCCTGTCCCGTCCTGGACGTCCAGCAAAAAAAGGGGAAACCACAATAACATTGCACCGGAGACTCAGTCAATATTATTCCTAGACATCTTCAAAGCGGGACAGAGGATATTGGACCCCGAGCAAGAGACGGGTGGAGATAGAGAGCGAGTGTGAGACAACAGACGGAGACGGAGAGCGTTCGGTGAGGTCTCTGAGGTATGGCTGCCTGAAGCTATGAGCCGCTCCTTCACATCCATCAAACGCGCATTGCCTTTGAAGCCCTGTCTTTCCTGCCCTCGAGTTAACCATCTCTCCTGCGTCCTCACCGCCGTCCGCGCTGGCCGCGATGTGCATTCTTCCCCACACCACCAGGGGTCCCTGTGTGCATAACAAACAAATTGCTTCCAGCCTCCAGTCGCCGCTATCGCTGTGGTCGTTCCACATTTCCTCTTCATGTGGTGTAGTAGCGCTGGCAGTAATCGAGGTGGCACCTCTATCATTACATACCGATAGACGAGTAATGATGCTGAGGCAGGCGGCTAACGTTGGGGTTTTGTGGCAGGACTTCTGCACAACATCAGACAGACAGAGAGACAGGCGCGGAGCCCCAAGGACAAGAAGACACATGATTCCTTCGTGCTGCAGGGCCACAAACATTAACAAGGTCTTTTCACTCTCTCCTTCCCTGCTCCCTATTGCTCCCATCTGGGGTACAAAAATGGATACGCAAGGTTAATAAAAGTGTTGGAAAGCACAAGTATCAGTTACAGATATGCTTTAACGTTTTGAAAGTACCTGTCTATCAGGACGGGCTCTCTTTCTTTCAACTTCTCCCTATAACGTCTCCCCAGATGTGCGTTTCTGCAGCGCGCTAACAGGACATTAACTGTTAAAGTCTTCTTTCGTCCACGGCTATATGCGCACCGCGCTGTAAGCGCTGGCCCCCGTCCAGGAATCTCCTGCAGCCAGACGCTCATAAGTCCTCCTCCAACCGGCCAAGAATGTGGAAAAGCGCCTTCAAAGAGAAGCCCAAATGCAAGGTGTGGTACCTGAGTACCTGAGTCCACAGGTGGTCACATTAGAGCGAAAGCGCTAACTGAAATCCCACACCGGTCAGAGAGGCCAGGAGGAGAAGATGTGATCAGATCGACGTGAATGTCAGGAAAAAGGGTCGAGGTCGCCTTGGACTGGTCCATTTTGCAGATGTATAAAACAAAGAAATATCAACTCTTCAGCGTTTCGAATTCGCAGAGCTTGATGAATGGCGCCCAATAAAAGAAGTCAGAGGGTCAAAGGGCAGAAGTGTCACAGTTTTACAACGTGAAACTGTGTTAAACGACAAGCTGATCAAAGACACTGTGCAGAAACGCCCCGATCCGCCTCATCTGAACGCGAAATTGGGCAACGAGCCACAGAGACGGTCGGCCGCTAACAAAGCTGCTTAGTAAGAAAAGCGAGAGCAGGCGGCGGCGAGAAGACGAGTGGAGAACACGGCCGAGGACAAAGGGCTGCTTGTCCGACTGCAGGGAGGGGCCCGGTGCCACTTTTTTGAGGGGTCTCTCCGTGATAAATTTCCCCAGTATACTTGACTCTGTCACATTGTCTGCCACTTGGACAATCACCGAGGTCACGGCGGAGTAGTGGACTCCACACCGTGACCGATCTGAAGAGGAGTGCTGGACTGAAAGTAAACAAAACACTTCTCACAGTTGTCTTTACACTGACCCGTTTATTAATGACGGATATAAGGTATAAATTCTCTGCCGCAGTGGGACGCTCATACAAATGAAGGGCTGCGGGGTTGTCAAACAGAGAAGGACAAAGACGGATGTGATCGTCCTGGAGAGGAAGCACATGACGACACGCAAAATAGTGCTTATTTACATCTTTGGAATGACTGTGTTGAAAACCAAAAACAAACTGAAACGTGGGCTGCCAGCACGTGTTTGTCAACTGACCTCATGGATCTGTGTGGTTGGTAAGTTTTCTTTAAAGAGCTGCAGAAATCTGTTTCAACTTAACTGAAATGAGGCTAAAAAATATATTTTTATTATTATTATTATTTTCTAAATGTAATTTTTAATCTTGAAGCCGTTTAACACTAACGTAATTTATTAAATACATTTCATCAAGTTCAATAAGTAATTGATTTCTTAATTTGTTGAATTAAAACGTTGAAAAAGAGAAATACTAAGCAACCACATAAACACCCTTATTGATTATCTTTATACTTTATAACTTAAAATATATATATATATATATATAATATAATAAAATACTAAAGTGAGACCTTATGACGGGAATAACATCAAGTTGAATGAGGCAATATCTAATCTCACCCTTCACGACGTTGGAAGAACATTCGTCCACCGCTCAGGACTGTGGGGTCTGTCTGGTGTCAGGAGGGGGGGTGGGGGGGGAGTACTCAGGTCGTCCCACCTCCCTCTCTTCCAGGCAAGACGCTCCTAACTTGCGGAGCGCACTGCGGAAACTCTCCAAAGAATCTTGAGCCGCTCCTGCTTCCCAGCTCTGCACCGAGTAGAAAGAGAGACAGAAACCGTCCAAAAAAACAGTCCCAGGCGGGAAGAAGTAGCCTAGAGGTCGGGGATGTTCCTCCAGCGGCGCGCCACATCTGAGCCGAGAGGCCACCGGCAACGGGTTTAATCTGCATTTATTATACGTATCATTCCAGAGAAGAGACGACTTGGAAGAAAGTGCAAAGGAGGCGACCGAGAGCCGACCGACTCGCAGCGTCCCGTCACCTCGGCACCATGGTCCGCCTGCCGGGATCCAGCTTGGCGCTCCTGTGCGCTCTGCTGCACGCGGTGGCCCCCTGGGGCGCGCACCGACCGGACAGACCGAAGCAGTGCGACGCACCGCAGTCGGTGAGTCGTGGGGGTCTTTTTTTTGGGTTCGTCGTCTCATTTGATCGTTCTACCTCTCTGTTATCCAGAAAGTTAATGGTTAACGGTCAGACTTGTTGTCGGCATCCCAAAGGAATTGTTTCCTTAAAAACGTGCAGATGGAGAAATAACAGTGAAACTATTAGTCATTTTGGAATGAATCTGCAGGATGGCAAAATCACAATATCATTTATCATAATTGTGCAAAGAATGAGGTCAAATATTACGACATTTTACACATCTGAACTTTTTTTATAAGCATAAGCGTATGAAAATATAAGTTTTAATTGCACTATCAATGGAAATTGATAGAATAGCCTATGATAATATTACCAATAAAAATAGACTGCAGTAATATTATGTTATTATGTGCAGTGATCAAACACAGCCGCCTTGTCTCCTCAGACGTGTAAAGAACTTCAGGTATTTCAGAACCGACGCATTAAATGAAATCACTAGAAGAAATGCGGGAAAGCAGCTGCCGAGAGAAATTGTTAAAGCTTCACAACTTTGTGGCTGTTTATGTGACAAACGCAGGAGGGGAACACCCGGGGCCGACTTGACTTCATTTGGAAAAGTTTCACTGACCCTACAAACGTGCTCATGTTTCAGCGAAACGCACGCGGCCGCATTAAGCATCTATCTGCGCATATTGGTAAAATTATGGATGTGGCTTGAACCGTCTCCCACCGCGAAAGCATCCTCTCCACGAAGGAGGGGAGAGTTTATTAAAATCAAGAAGCAGACTTCTGGGGTCAAATTAAAAAACTCAGCGACAGGCGTTTTTTTTTTTTTAAATACGACACTTGTGCCCGCGGCGTCTTTTCAAGATCACATGGTGTTGTTTGATTAGTCCGTTTAGTTCTTGGGGCCGATGATGGATCTGGTGTGAGAGATCACCGAAGGCTTCGTGTGATTTGCAACGCGTCAGTGCAGTGCTCTCTGTTTTCTGTTAAGAGTAATTACCCCATAAAAAAGGAGCTCTGCGCGTCAAAGCCCCCCAGAAAAGTCCACGCGCCTTTAGCGGAGTGGGGATCTGGCCTCTCCCGCAGGACACGTACCACGCTCTCCACGTCGAAAAGTCGTTATTTTACGGAGCAGGCCTCTGTGCACGCGTGCACGTTGACGGATGACAAGATGCTGCAAAAAAATAAAACAGAAATACGACGCAGAGTGCGCTGACGCGTCTCATGCCATCCAACGTGCGTCAGTCTGCGGCGTGGGCTGCTCCCCGAGTTAGACGCACGCCATTGAAAGGTTTTTGGTGTATCTGCAAGGCCGCCCTGAGAAATGACTGAACGCTCATTTTAGTTCATTATGAAGATAGCAGAACATCCCATTTGATGACTCCACTGGCCCTTTGGCAAACATATTTGACAACGTAGACAACATTGGCAGCGTGCACAATAATTTGAACCCATGTTGAAGCAAATCTTGATTAAATTTGAGAAGTTAACATTTACTAAGAATAACTTTATTGTACAGTAATGGGTTTCATCCCTCAAACGCCTGATTACAGTGTCTTAAGAGCCAGAAGTTGAATATTGTTTATAGAAGTTCATTTTTTTCTTCATATTAATGCCAACATCAAAGTCGTAACACATGCGCAACACATTTGCGGAGCACTTAACAAGAAACATATTTTGCGACGCAATGCGGCCCTCGTGCTCATTTAGAATGGTGCTGATTGTTTCCTTTCCACTGTGACATTGTTCAAATGATAACCGCACCAGACACGTCCAGCAACGTAAACCGTACGGGACAAAAACCGCGCCGAACCTGAGGCTGTCAGCACCCGGTCTCTCCGCCTGGTGTAAAACATCTCACAAACAAAAGTATCACAGTTGGGGTCACGATGGAGGGCAGGTTTCTTTCAGCTTTTGGTTTTTATGAGCTCTGAGCGCCGTGTATTTGCACTGCAGCCTTCAAAACGCTTCCCGGCCCAGAAGAGGCATTGGCAACCGAGGTATGCGCCTCAACAATACACGGGGGTCTGTTCACAGCCCCAAAGGCCGCTCTATAAACCCCCCAGCAGCAAACCCCCGAGCTGACTATATGCATCATCTCAAAAAAGTGCTAACGCGTTGAGCCGAGCCAATGAGTCACAATACAGGAACAATGTGTCGGCTGTAGTTGAATTTCTCTTTCCCCCCTTTAATGTATTCTTTCCTTCCGTCTCCTCCACAGCAAAGCGACATGAACTCTTTCCTGTGGAGAGTAAACCGTGCGCCTCCTCACCCACCTTCTTACTTATTCGGCACCATCCACGTGCCCTACACGCGGGTCTGGGACTTCATCGCCGACAGGTCCAAGCAGGCTTTCCACAGCAGCCGCAACGTGTTCTTTGAGCTGGACCTGACCGACCCGCTGACCATCTCCAAGCTGACCAGCTGCCAGCTGCTGCCCCACGGGGAGAACCTGCAGACGCTGCTGCCTCGAGACCTGTACCGCCGCCTCAAACGCCACCTGGACTACGTCAAGCACAGGATGCCCCACTGGATGACCGCCGACCAGCGCGGCCGCGGCCTGTACGCAGACTACCTGTTCAACGCCATCGCGGGGAACTGGGAGCGGAAAAGGCCCGTTTGGGTGATGCTGATGGTGAACTCGTTGACGGAGTGGGACGTTCGGTCCAGGGGGACGCCCGTGCTGGACCTGTTCTTGGCTCAGGAGGCCGAGAGGATGGGAAAGGTGACGGGGGCGGTGGAGCGGGTGGAGGAGCAGTGTCACCCCCTCAACGGGCTGAACTTCTCTCAGGTAAGAGGAGGAACGAACTCTGCTTTGTGTTCTGTTTTCCGCGCTGGATTTCCCCCGGCGGGAAATGCGAGCGTGATAAGACGTGAGATTCCGTTTGGTTGTGCTGGTAGTAAAGCAGGGTGTGCCGGGAGAAGTGATCGAAACCTTTCAGCCGGAGACAGCTTTACGGTTATGGATGTCCGTCCACCTCACTGAACAAACACTCAACAGCTGAAATGTGCAGAGAGGGGCGTCGGGCTGAGCGACGCACATGCACAACGCATTAGAGAAGGTGAAGAGAGCGAAAGACAAAAAACAAAACCACCTCCTTTGGATCCCTCTCCATTGGATGAGCGAAACATGCAGCTTTGATATCTTGTCTGATTACGTGAATACACGAAGGGAACAAGCATCTATTTAAATAATTAGTCCCACGAAAATCTGCAATGGGCCTCAACAGCATCGTTCTATTTCTTGTTCTGATGCAACCTCCGATCTAAATCACTTGAATAACACGTTCCGTGCATGCACGGCCCACCCGGAGGCCCACTGCAGGCACGCAAAGCTCCATGCGTGCCCTGGCCTCCGTGGGGCGGTTCTGAGGGCTCCGGGGCTAATTTGAGAGGCAGAGGGGCTCCCAGCCTCTCCTCTTTCATCAGCACCTCCTAACTATGCTGTCAAAAGCCCCGCCGCATGCCCTGCACATGCCTCAGAGCTTTACTGCACGTAGGAATCAGCTCAGCAAGGCACGACAGTATGTTTGCCTCACAGTAATGAAGAGATGCCGTTAGGAGGGCTCTGCAGTCCGTTGTGTCGCGTGGACATGTTGTTTTCTGGTCATCTCAAAAGGGACCCATGCCTCCGGTCTGTTCCCTCTATGGGGCAGCCTAACCGTCCCCGACGCTGATTTATATTTAGTGTGGCACCGCACGGCAGTTGCCCCGAAAAAACAACGCGGTTTTATGTAACACTCAAACCGGTTTGAGAAGGAGAACAGTGTCCGACTCCAGAAAGCTCTGTTTACGCTTCCTGAGAACTTCAATTTGATTATAACAAGCATAATCTATTGATCTTTAGGGAAAAGAACAGGCACTGCATTTACAAGGGGTGGTAACGGCTTTACAAGACAGGTGTTCAAATTCCGATAAGAGTTTTATTGCCATGGAAATACAGTCCGAATTTGGATCACGGCTAACTGGAATTTTACTCCTCCAGAGCACAAGGAGGATTTGCGAGCTTCCAACCCCCTCGTCCCCAGATACGTATGAGAACAATTCAGCGCTGAACTGAAGCTGACATGGCAACCATTATTCACAATTATAATAATTTGCGATTTAATCTGAACACTGTGGTTGATTGATTCCCTCTATGCGTGACTGTAACAAAGATGAGGACAGAAGGATGGATAGAAGGGTCGAAGAGAGAATGCGTGGGTGGGGGGGGGGGAGAAGTGAGACACGGAGAGAGGAAGGCAGAGATAGAGACTGACTGGGGGAAAGAAGGGAAAGTGGAAAGGCAGCGGAGACTGATGTGAATCCGCTCACCGCTGACGCTGATCTGAAACGCGAGCCACGCTTCAAGGGGAGATCGGAGTCGGGAAACCTTCCAAACCCTGACAGCCCACATATTATTTGTTCCCAATAAAAGTAGTTGCTTACAATCCTGTAACTTTGACTTCGACTGGGGGCTCTCCGGTGATTCATCATCTGACACATTGTGGGTTTCACATAGGCACCTGGGCCCAGTGGTGCCGGCGCAGCCAGGCAAGCGCCACTGGCAGATGGGTGGTCTTGAGGCACGGGCCTACACGTCTACAGGTCAGCTGTTGCTGGGGGGGACCCTGTGACCTCATTCTCTTCGGAGGAGGTGGAGCGGTCTCCAGTTAGCAGTGGTGATGTTGGCCGTGACGTGGGGAGGGGTCGAAGAGGCCGTCGGTGGACCGGTTTGTGGTCTAACAAGAGCCCCGTCTGCCAGAGGCCGTTCCTCGGTCCGCTTGGATCACGGAGGAAAAAGGCGCGGGTGTCTCTGTGTGAGGCGGTTTAGAGTTTGTGGGAACGAAGGCCGGTCGCGGTGCATGGTTCTTCTCCGCTTCTTTGGAGGCCGACGCAGGTTGACAGCTGAGCCGGCACTGATGTCTTTGTGAATGCTTTGAGCAGCGAGGGGGAACAGCTGGAGAAAGCATTGCAGGGGAGGGGACTCCTTCACAGGCGGTTCACTCAAGGGCAGATTAAGGAATTACTATGATCATTTAGGTAGCCACATACGTCTGGTAATCAATGAGAGGATGCAAGGTGCATTTACTCATGTTATTGGTGTTACGATGTGGAACAGAAACTTCTCTAGTGTTAATCTGCTTTTGAGAAACTCCAGGGCGGCTCCAGCCTGTGGGCCTCTCTCACACCCACCAAATAAACACCCAGATTTATTTTCCCTGGGTCGCATTGCAGCCGAGGCCACTGGCCCATGTCCTGGAGAAATTACATCACATCAGTGGCGCCTGTCTCTCGGGCGGGGGGTCAAGGGTCTCGGCGGGAGGTGGCGGTGGAGACGTGGAGCAGCAGAGCGGTGAGGAGACTGGCGGTCTGCCGGGGGTCAGTCTGGGCACCGCTGAGCCGGCAGGCAGCGCCCGATCTCATGGAACAACCTCAGACCAAGGTGATTTGTTTTCATCAGCTCGAGGTATTTGGTGCCACGAACTGGTGCAAGTGGGGGTGCGAGTAAGGAAGAGGTTTGGCTGACAACGGCACACTCCAAGGGTTGTGACTCCCCGGCTGGAGAGGGGAGCGGGGGGAACGAATGGGAGGCTGGAAGGTGACAGAATACAGTTTCCTCACGGCAGGAGGCCGTCCTCCTCTGTTTACAGCTTCAGTGGCTCAGCCCAACATGTCTATTTCGATCAGTTAACCCCCCCCCACGCTGTCTGTTGTGTTGACTCTGCGGCCTCACCACACATGCTGTGGTCGCAGTGAGGCCCTCTCAGGCCTGGAAATGTGGTTACACTATCACAACAGTGTGTCTCTTTGTGTTGAAATGATACAAAATGGGATTACATTTAGGTACGTCTGATGAGAAGGGCAAGGTGATAGGACAGCAACATCTGAATTTACACAAAGTGGTGGTAAAGTTATCTTTACCGACACGGTCGCTATTACTTTATATGATATTCAATTTTATTTGCATTTGACCAATTCAGATTGGACATAATATTTGGCCCTAGGATAAAAAAATCATATGTAAAAATGAAAACAGTAAAAGTAAAATACAGCGCATATCCACAGATCCAGAGGTTTCTTGCCTCTACATGCCACTTATTTGATGAGCGTTTGTGGGAAGCGGTGAGAAGAATATTGTGATCCCGGGGTCGTGAACGTCTCCTGGCCAGGTTGCTACGGGTAACAGCGTAACTCTGTGTTCGCCACAGAGGGCGACTGACGGCTCTCTCTTTTCCTTGACCCTGCCCGCTTCTTCTCATCTCTCTCTCTCTCTCTCTCTGACGTGTCCCCGAGGCTCCGCGTGTGCCATTGCTCATCTGCACGCACGGCAAGTGGAAAAAGAGGTGGAGAAGGGAGGAGGAGGTGGAGGAGGAGGAGGAGAAGGGGAGGAGAAGATTACCTTCAAAGTGTGCTGGCGACATGTATCCCCTCTTTAAACATGACATCCGAGGGTGTTTCACGTCTAACCTATAATTACCTGCGCAAATATGTGGAAAGCTGCGAGGGAGCGCGTATCGAGCCGATCATCTGGCCCCGTCGGCTGGCAGACGGCAGTCTCCCTGTTGCACTAATGACTTAATAGGCCCTTTAATGACCAAATAGCCCGCTGCCATCCAGAAGCACTTAGACAATTATACGCTGGCCAGAACACTTAGGGGCTGATGGCGAGATGGAGGGAGGTGCAGAGAAAGGATGTTGTGGATGCTGCAAAAACAGGAGCACTGTGCACTTGACGACTAAATAAATCACAGTTTCATTTACTGGTTTCATATTTTGTGGGGGGGGATTCTGAAGGCTATGATTGAGAGCAGGTAGCAGACACGAGCTGACAGGAACCTGGTACAGGTAGGAAACAAGAAATGTTCCACTTAAAGTGCCACAATTTTAGCATTTCCTTAACTCGAGCCAACACAGCTGCCACCATTACGCTCTCCTCGAACTTTTTAACGCAGTCGAAAGTGGCAAGTTTAGCAGATGAAGTGCAAGTGAGGCGTGCGGGGGAAAGTGGGAACATAAACATCTTTTCTTCTGAAGAGGTCCCCTGTGAAGCGTTAACTCTGCCCGGATCCCCGTGCGCTGCTTTGTCTCCATTGGGCGAGTCCAACAGAGGTCGCTCCCCTCGTCACACTGACTGAAGTAATGACTCCAGCACATTGTCCCCCGGCCGAGCGCCTCCGAGGGACCCGGGTATGTGAGCGCGGCCGGTCGGAGCGCTCTTCCATACTTTAGTGTTTCGACGTGCCAAATCCTCGCCCCCATTCTCCCTTTGTTGGAGAGAAGGAGCGTTGCTTTCTGCTCAAGCGGCCTCACGTCGCACTGTGGATCCGTCTTCATTCCCGCGGTCATCATCCCGTCAAATGAGGACCGAAGCACACGCCCTTGTGTTTCTGTATAATTATTTTGTCATCCTAGCAGTGGAAATTGCAGTAAAGCGAAGGGCGTTTGAGCGTGTGTTCCTGCAGGCAGGTAGTCTCAAAGACACACCATATTTCCACACGGTACATATTCATCATCATGCTCATCACCACAAGGGAAACTGTAGTAAATAGTTCGGAGCTGGGGGTTATTTTCTATGGGAAGGGCAGGTAGTTTCCAAGCCGGCTGAGGTTAATCTCAGGTTGTCTGGGCCAGAGGCTGATTGATCACAGACAGGAATGTGACTGACTGATTTCCTCAGAGACCCGCTTGGCCCCTCTGGAATGTTGTCTTTTGGGACGTCCTTGTTTTATAACCTTTGTCTAACCTGGTTAGCCCCCTGAAATCTGGGGGCATTGTATGTATCTGTGGTGTGACGTGTGCGTTGCTTAG